CGAACGGGATCCGTTCCGGAGCCCTGTTCGCATCCAGAAGTGAACGCAACCCGGACTTCCGGTTGGTGCCAGCAGCAATGGCTGACCTCCTTTGAAGTTCGGAGGGGGTAGCTCAGCGGGAGATCGGGTCCTGTGCGCTCCGGCGAAGCGGGGACCCTCAGAAATCGCAGGCGCGGACGCCTGCGAACGTGGAGGCTCGGCGGGCACCCTGAAGCGCCCCCCCAACCTGAAAAGAAGCCTTTTTGAGGCTTCGGAAGGGAGCGGGGGAGAGAAGCGCGGTGCTGCGAGCGGATCGCTGCTCCCGCTGAGCGAAGCCGCGTTGCCGTTGCTGGAGAGCGCTGACTTATTCCTGGGAAATTCGGACTCAAAAACTAACCGTGAGTAGAGGAATTGGACAAAAGAGCAGGATTTGGACTAATTTGGAACTTTGGCAAAAAAGCGGAAAAGTTTAAAGTTTTTTAAAAATGGCTGAATTGGCTACCGCGGTGGAAGCTTAAACAGGAAGTTGGCTTCACTGCATTGTATAAAGAACAAAGCAAAGAGATTTGGAGCTAAACGTGGAGAGCTGAATTGAAATAAATGTAATCTTCTGACCTGAGGACTTTGGAGGGATCTACCCTTAGGAGAGTTAAGGGAAAGACTTTTGATTTTATAGGATCGTTTAAACTGAAAGACTAAATGAGTGATCTGTCACTCAGCTGTCAAAGCTGTCAAAGTTGCTAAAGCTGTTTGCTGGCTGCAAAGGAGATACATAGTGGCCAATTTTACTGAGAAAAGACTGGAAAAGACTGAAAAGTTATATTGTGGCTTTTACTTTGGACTCTTTTTCTCCTCTTACTTAGTATCTTTCCCTTGTTGTTTTAAAAGACAGTAACTTGTTAAGTGGCAACAGTGTCCATCTAGTGGGACTTTCTGTAACTGCAGGAAAGGAAAGGAATTTTCCAATTATAAACAGGAAGAGTGGACGTGGGAAAGTAACTTGACCTTCACTCTGTTATGGCTGATGGTTTTAAGGACCAGTCAACCTTGAGATCAGGGAAACCTTGGACACATAGAAGGCAATCATCTGCTGGTTTGCCTACATCGGCAACACAATCTAAGTCTGGTGGAATGTCTGAGGAATTTTTAGCTAGTGCTCTGTCTAAGATTAATGATTCAATACAGCAGCTAT